GAGTCCACAAGCCTGGTCCAATGCCCTGGATCTGGCATCCTTTGCCTCTCAGAGAGCAGAGACAGGGCAGCGAAGGACAGAAGAAGCCTCCACCCCACACATGACCAGGGCCAGAGTGGGCCTCGTGCCAGTTCCAGGTGCCAGGGCAAGGCATGTATCCCACCGCCACCCTTGGCTCGCCCTGCAGATTCGCAGGAACTGCTTGGAGCCCGCCCAGCCTCAGAGTCTTCTCTCGAACCCGCTTATCTCCCACACTTATTGACTTGGGGCTTTTCCTGCCAATCTGCCCGAGCAGGAACAGCCCTTTCAGGGCAACCGCTGCCAAAATCCATTGGCACAGCACACCATCTGCCTGGGCCTTGTTGGCATCTGTCACAAGAGGTGGGGACTAGAAAGCCCCACTCTGGGGCTTCTCCCCAGGAGACTTCAATGGGTTGGGAGGGAAGGCTTGGCTTCCCCCAGGACTTGAACATTTATTCAGCAAAACTTGGCTGGACGCAGTGGCTCATGCCTGTAATCCCAGCACTTTTGGGAGGCTGAGGGGGGAGGGTCACTTGAGCCCAAGAGTTTGAGACTAGCTTGACTAACATGTCAAAACCCCATCTCTACTAAAAATACAAAAATTAGCTGAGTGTGGTGGCGCACATGTGTAGTCCCAGCTACTCAGGTGGCTGAGGCATGAGAATGATCTGAACCCGGGAGGCGGAGGTTGCAGTGAGCTGAGATTGTGCAGCTGCATTCCAGCCTGGGCGTTAGAGTGACACTTTGTCAAAACAAAACAAAAAACATAACAAAACAAAACACCTTGACTGGGCACCTACCGTGTACCACCACTGTGCAGATCACTGGGGAGGTAGCAGTGAATGACTCGGACAAGGGACGGGGGGACCTCTCAGCAGTGGAGACAGGCAACAAAGAAAATTAAAAATAGGTAAATTCTACAAAAATACAACCAAGGAAGCGGGATCAGGAGGCCAGTGAGGGGAAGAAAGGAGCTGCCATTTTAAACCAGAAGGTCTGGGAAGGTTGTCCTGAGAAAAGACTTTGAGCAGAGATTGAAGGAGGTGAGTGAGAGAGCCTCATGAATGTCTTGGGTGACAGCACCCCAGGCAGAGGGAACGACCAGTGCAAAGGCCCTGGAGCACCCTGGAGGGGCTGGTGTGGCTGGAGAGGAGCTAGGGAGACTGAGGGTACAGGTATCACAGCAATAATGGGGAAGATTGGGGAGGCCACTGAGGGTACCTTAGCCTCTCCTCTGAGAAAAGTGGGGAGCCCTGGAGGACTGGGAGAAGAGGACTGTGGCACGACCTCTGTGGTTTTAACAGGACCACTCAGACCTCTGCTTGGAGGATACCCTAGGGCAGGGTGAGGGTGGAGGCCGGGATGTCATCTAGGAGGTGGCTGCCAAAAATCCAGCCTGTTATCTCACAGGGGAGGGAATCAAGACATATGTACACACACACACACACACGTACACATATACATGTGTGCAATGCACGTGTGTACCCATATATGTACACACATGTACACAGAGACCCTGGGGACAGACGAACATGGTTTTAACTCCTGACTCTACAACCAACTTTCTATGTGACCAAGAGCAAGTGACTTGACATCTCTGAACTTCAGTTTTCCCTCCTGCCAAATGGAAGTTCAGACACCTTCTTCCAGGCTTGCATATGTGCAAAGCCTGCACACCAGTTTCACTGAAAGGGGTTGAGAGTGACTGGCCCCTAGCAGGCACACGTACAGTGACCCTTTTCTCCTTCACATGCCACAAGATTGATGAATAAACCAGTTACCCTTGTCTCTGGCTTCAGGGAGTGGCTATTGGGAGGTGCCTTCCAGCCCCATTAGCCTCTGGGCAGGATTGTCCCGGGCTGGGCAGGGGGCTGCAGAAGCTACCACTGTCCTTAGAGAGCTGCAGTCTCTGGACAGGCAGCCCCATAAGCAGCCCCACCACAGGGTCCAGCCACCTACCTAGAACACTCCAGGCTCAGTGGCTACTCACAGAGCCACCTCTCCTGCTTTTCAGCTGTGAGAAGATGATTGTGAGAAATGCTTTCCGAAAGTGGAGCTTATGCTCCCCTTCCCTTTGTTATTCCACAAACATAAATCACCATCATCATTTTGTCTTCCCTGGTACCATCTATCATCTTCATCTTTTTTTTTTTTTTTTCAGATGGAGTCTTGTTCTGTCAGCTAGGCTTGGGTATAGTGGCATAATCTCAGCCCACTGCAATGTCCACCTCCCAGCATCAAGCGATCCTCCTGCCTCAGCCTCCCGAGTAGCTGGGATTACAGGCAAGTACCACCACTCTCGGCTAATTTTTTTGTATTTTTAGTAGAGACGGGTTCACCATGTTGGCCAGGCTGGTCTCTAACTCCTGACCTCAAGTGATCTGCCTGTCTTAGCCTCCCAAAGTGCTGGGATTACAGGCGTGAACCATGGTGCCTGGCCCATCTTCATCATCTTCACTTTTCTCTTCTTCTTTCTCCTCTTCCTCTCTTCTCCTCTTCATCCTCTTCCTCTTCTTTCTCTTCATCTTCATCAGTCATTATCATCATGACCATCTTTCCCTCCTCCATATCCTCCTCCTCTCCCTCCTCATCATCTTTTCCTTCTTTGCCTCCCCCTTATTCTTCCTCCTCCTCCTCCTCCCTTCCTTCTTCCTCTTCTTCTTTTTGGAGATGGAGTCTCACTCTGTCACCAAGGCTGGAGTGCATAGTCGTATGATCTTAGCTCATGTAACTTCTGCCTCCCAGCCTCAAGGGATTCTCCCACCTCAGCCTCCTAAGTAGCTGGGACTAGAGTTGCAGGCCATCACATCTAGTTAATTTTTGTACTTTTGTACAGATAGTGTCTCACCACAGTGCCTAGGCTGGTCTCAAACTCCTGGCCTCAAGCGATCCTCCCACCTTGGCCTCCCAAAGTGCTGGGATTGTAGATGTGAGTCACCGCACCCAGCCTTGTTTATTTTCACCGCATTTATTTAGTTACCTGTTATTTGTGGCCAGCTGGACTGGTGTTTTGCTTGTAGAGTATTGTGGGATGTCCTTTTAAGTTGAAATTAGCTTTTAAAAGTGTTGGGTTTTAAATAAATTGTTAAATAATGGTGCTCAGCCGTGGTTAAACCACAAAAAGTGGTACTTTAAAGACTTGAATTGGAAGAAGGGTGGCCTATGAGTTAGACCTGAGCCCCTCAGCCTGGCAGTATAACTGCTGGACTGTTCATTTGCTTTTCAACTATCTTAGCCTCCAAACACCCATCATTGCCTTGACATTTGCTATTTTGTGCTTCAGAGCCTTTGCAGGCGATTTCTTGAGCCTGGTGTACTCAGGCATCCTTCAAAGCCCTGCTCAAGCATCAGCTCCTTGGGGAAGCAGGTCTTAGCTTCTGTGGGTTGTTGGGAGCTCCTCAGCTCTGCCCCCTGGAGCCCTTTGTTCATGTCTTTTGGGAGCAGTCACCCTTGGTGCCTGCCCAGCAGCCACATGCATGTCTCTGTCTGCAGAGCCCCATTCTTTGCACCAGGTACTGAGCCTGGGACCAGGGGAGAAATCATCGTCATCCTCTTTTCCTTCCAGTGATTGGTCTGAGGGGTGGGCATGTCATCTTCTTTTACCCAATGAGGTATAAGGAGTAGGGGAATTTTGGTTGGAGAGAGGAGAGCTTCCTGAAAGATAATCCCCCTGACAAAGTAAAGATCCTGGAAGAGGAAGATCTTTGCCGCCTTCAGGATCTATTCTCTTGAGGATGTGATGTATGGAACTGAGGCAGCCGTGTTAGAACCGTGAGGCACAGAAACCACAGCAAAAATGAGGGCTGTCTCGTGCCAAAGCAAGCAAAAGGGGGCAGGTGGAGGGTAGAGGCTCAGAGGGTCAGGAGCCTGGGGGTCAGATTGGGAGAGGATGATGAGTAGGTAAACCCCAGGTCAAGGGAGGGAGAAGACCTGGAGCCTCAAACACAGAGGGCACAACCCGCGGCCCCTCCTTCACCTCACACCATCCCCTCTCTTCTGCCTCCTTTCCTTCCTCTTCTAGCTCATGTTTTCACTCACACATCCATTCATGTGCTCATTCTTTTTCTTTTTTTTTTCTTTTTTGGGACTGAGTCTTGCTCTTGTCACCCAGACTGGAGTGCAGTGGCACGATCTCGGCTCACTGCAGGCTCCACCTCCTAAGTTTAAGCAATTCTCTTGCCTCAGCCTCCTGAGTAACTGGGATTACAAGCGTGCACCACAATGCCTGGCTAATTTTTGTATTTTTAGTAGAGACAGAGTTTCACCATGTTGCCCATGCTGGTCTCGAATTCGTGACCTCAAGTGATCCGCCCACCTCAGCCCCCCAAAGTGTTGGGATTACAGACATGAGCCACTGTGCCTAGCCCACTCATACTTTCAATAAGCATTCATTATGCACTTACTGTATGCAAGCCCCTTGGAAGGAGCAAGAGGATTGGCAGTGATCAACAACCACCCATGCAGATTCATCAGCTTGGCAGTTTTACTTTTATTTTTATTTTGAGACAGGATCCCACTCTGTCACCCAGGCTGGAGTGCCGGGGCACGATCATGGCTGTCTGCAGCCTTGACCTCCTGGGCTCCAGAGAGCCTCCCACCTTAACCTCCTGAGTAGCTAGGACTACAGGCATGCACCACCACACCTGGCAAATTTTTTTTTAAATTTTAAGTAGAGAAGAGATCTCGCTATGTTGCCCAGGCTGGTCTTGGACTCCTCAGCTCAAGCAATCCTCCCACCTCCACCTCCCAAAGTGCTGGGATTATAGGCGTGAGCTACCGCACCAGGCCAACGTGGTGGTTTTAAAATATGTCCACAAATTCTTTGACACCCCTGCCTTCAAGAGACAGAGGCTAACTGTCCTTCCACTGTGTGTTGACGGCACCCACTTCCAACGAACAGATGTGGAAGCAATGATGTGTAACACCCAAGATTAGGATACGAAAGGCACTGCAGCCTCCTCCTTGCTCTCTCTCAGGTCACTTTCCCCGGGGGAAGTCAGCTGTCATGTCATGAGGGCACTCAAGAAGCCCTGTGGGAAGAGCCACGTGACAAGGAGCTGATGCCTGCAGCCAACAGCCAGGTGAGTGAGCCATCTCAGAAGCAGAGCCTCCAGCCCCAGCCTGTATCCTTACTGCAGCCCCATGGGAGACCCTGAGCCAGAACCTGCTAGAAAAACCACACCCTGACTTCCGACCCTCAGAAACGGTACAAAATTATGAATATTTATTAATTTTAAGCTGTTGAATTTTGGGGGTAACTTGTTATGTGGCAGTAGATAAACAATACAAGTAAAAGGCACTGCTCTACTAAGTGCCTTATGTATATTAATGTATTGAATTCACCTAACAATATGATGTTTTTCCAGATGAAGACAACGAGGCACAGAGAGGCTTGTTAACTTGCCCAAGGTAACACAGCTGGTAAGTGGGATAATCCTGGAGGAACTCTGAGTCCAGAAAGGAGATCAGACTTGCGGATCATTTTTTCTTTTTTTCTTTTTTTTTTTTTTTGAGACAGAGTCTTGCTCTGTCACCCAGGCTGGAGTGCAGTGGTGTGATCTTGGCTCACTTCAGCTTCCACCTCTTGGGTTCAAGCGATTCTCCCACCTCAGCCTCTCGAGTATCTGGGACTACAGGCATGTGCCACTGTGCCCAGCTAATTTTTGTATTTTTAGTAGAGACGAGGTTTCACCATGTTGACCAGGATGGTCTTGAACTCCTGGCCTCAGGTGATCTGCCTGCCTCGGCCTCCCCAAGTGCTGGGATTACATAAGTGAGCCACTGTGCCTGGCCTCTATATGTTAAACTTAAAACCACCACCACCACCACCAAAAGCATTGGCATGTAATAACTAAAGATTTTTTGCTGAATTGCCCAAGGTGGGGGGCAGACCCTGGATTCTCTCTTCAGGGAGCTTCTCTTCTTCTCAACAGGACCTCTCTATGTCATAGTTGAGTATGCCTCTAAAGGCAACCTCCGAGAATACCTCCGAGCCCGGAGGCCACCCGGGATGGAGTACTCCTATGACATTAACCGTGTTCCTGAGGAGCAGATGACCTTCAAGGACTTGGTATCGTGCACCTACCAGCTGGCCAGAGGCATGGAGTACTTGGCTTCCCAAAAAGTGAGTCCTTTACATTCTACTTGGTTGGCCGGCCTCCAGTTAAAAATGTCTTTAAAGAAAACAGGCAGTTTGGACGTGCTCATTTGCTAGATCAAGCCCTCGCATGTCTTGTTCACCTGGAAAATATTTATTGCGTTATTCACATTTGAGTTTAATGAACTCTTTGAAACCAAAGCAGACTCATAAACCTATAGCATCGCTGCAGAGATGAGCAGAAAAGATATGAGACAGGACCACGTGTGATTTCCCTGGGAATTCAGCCCTCCAGGTGGAAAATGGATGGTTTTAAAGGTGGTCCCTTTAATTTGGATGATTTTCTTTTTAGCTTCATTTATTTTGTGGTTACTGAGTTTTTGAACATAGACGTTAGGTGTTCAGTGTTTGAGATTTGGTATGGCATTAAATCTTCTAAGAGTAAAGGTCAAACAAAGGGGTATTTGAGTAACCTTGCCTCCTGGAGATCTGCGTTTATTTTGTCTCGTTTGGGAGGTGACCCTCTGTAGTTAGAAGTTGGCCAGGTCCCCTGAGGTGGACTGCCTGCATTCCAGGCATGCCACTTTCCATGGAACTTGAAACATTTCAGTTATTCCGAAAGTAGTTAGACAGGTGCCCAGATAGCCTCCGAGGCATTTTGGATGACCCAAGACTCCCTTGTCAGCCCCACACATAGGGAAGCAGAGGGGCAGAACTGCCTCCTGGGCAGAGGTGGGCACTGCTCCTTCCTGCGGTGCAGTTTATTGCAGCTCCAGGATTCCTTGGGTCCCCAAAGAGGTGAGGTCCTCTGGTGGGCACGGACCCTCTGTCACTGGGGGTCTGGGTTGCTTAAAGGATCACAAACTCAGGTCTCTGTGTGGCCATGCCAGTCACATGAGCAAGGCCCGCGATCACTCGGAGTGCAGAGATTCAAAGGCTGCACCTCAGCTCTACTGTCTGCTCACGTAGGAACGTGGCCCAGAGCTACTGCGGGTTCTGGATTTTTTTTTCTTTCTTTCTTTCAAACAGGCTGGAGTGCAGTGGCACAATCATAGCTCACTGCAGCCTTGACCTCCTGGGCTCAGGTGAACCTCCCACCTCAGCCTCTTGAGTAGCTGGGACTGCAGGGATGTACCACCACACCTGGCTAAGTGGTTTTTTTTTTTTTTGGTAGAGATGGNTTTTTTTTGAGATGGAGTCTACCTCTGTCACCCAGGCTGGAGTGCAGTGGTGTGATCTTGGCTCACTGCAGCCTCCACCTCTGGGTTCAAGAGATCCTCCTGCCTTAGCCTCCCAAGTAGCTGGGACTACAGATGCCCACCACCATGCCTGGCTAATTTTTGTATTTTTAGTAGAGACAGGGTTTTGTCCTGTTGGCCACGCTGGTCTCAAATTCCTGACCTCAGGTGATCTGCCTGGCTGGGCCCTGGTTGTGTGGGCTGAGAGAGCCCGCAGGGGACGGGGGGTTGTGCAGTGGAAATCAGAGGAGCCTGTGACCTGCTTCTTGCTGGGACTGGGGGCGACCCATGGACACACAGACTGAGAGTGGGCCTGAGACTGTGCCCACCCAATACCCACGGCCTGTGAGAGGCATGCAGAAAAGGCCAGAGTCCCCCTGCACCCAGGTCCTGAGAATCCCAGATCCAGCGAGAGGCCTGGGCGTGTGTGTCCTGGTTAGGGCGGCTTAGGTTGTCCAGCAGTGTCAAGCATCAACTCACAGTGGCTCAGCATAGCCAGGCTGTGGTTCTGGACCCACCACATGCCCCACGTGGGGTGGCAGGGACCCTGCTCCTCATAGTCACTCAGGTTCCCAGGCCAGTGGAGGCCCCACGCTCTTACGATGCTGCCGCCTCAACACGAGAGGCTTCAGGGCTTCCTGCAGTGAAAGGAGCCTGGAGGGGCCGCCAGCTCTGAAGTGACACCCAGGAGGACACGAGATGCTTCTGCTCACCTTTCACTCCGCAAAGCAAGGCCCAGGACCCCACTGACCTGCAAGGGGGTACATGACCAGGAGGACAGAACATCTTGGGGGGTCTAGCAATGTCTCCCACACTTCAGAAGTCCCCTGATCCTAGAACCATGCTGCCCAGAATGAATGCTGCAGTGGGATTAGCCACAGCTGGGCAGATTCCCCTCCAGGACACCCAAGGCCAGGCAGAGCCCCAGAGCCAACCAGAGGCTCAGAAGGCCTCTCTCCCATTAAGACACCACCCCTAGGGAAAGGGATGGAGTGGGGAGAAACTGAAAACAGGAGTCCTGATTCAAAAGCATGAACCCAGAAGGAGACTACGTGAAAGCACAAGAGACCTGTAAGTAACAAGAGCAGGGTCCCGGCCATCAGCAGGAATGGGCGTCAGAAGAGAAGAGAAATGAAGATGAAGCTGCCCAGCACAGCCCCACGCCAGGGGGCCCTGGGCCACGCATTTCCCACCCATCAGCCCCTTCAGCCCTCCAACCCTAGGAGCAGGCTCTGCTGTTCCCCCACTTCACAGAGGAGTAAGCCAAGACCCAGGCAGCTTAGCATAAGAATGTGCAGAGGCAGGCAGATCCCTTGAGCCCAGGAGTTTGAGACCAGCCTGGGCAAAACCCCATCTCCACAAAAAGTACAAAAATTCGCGAGTCTGGGTGGCGTATGCCTGTTGTCAGCTACTGAGCAGGCTGAGCTGGGAGGATTGCTTAAGCCCAGGAGTTAGAGGCTGCAGTGAGCTGTGATCGTGCTACTGCACTCCAGCCTGGGCAACAGAGCAAGACCCTGTCTTTTTTAAAAAAGGAAGGAAAGGAGGAAGGGAGGAAAGGAAGGTAGGGAAGGAAAGGGGAGGGGAGGGAAAGGGAGGGAAAGGAAGGGAAGGAGAAAGGGAAAGGAAAAAGGAGAGGAGAGGGCCCAAGTGCTCTTCCTGCAGGTTCTGTCTCTCCCACTGTGCCCCATGAAGTGGGTGCTATCATTGGATCCATCGTACAGATGGTGAGACCGAGAGCCAGAGAGAAAGCAAACTGCCCGAGCTCCCAGAGATGCCCAGGACTCAGTCCCTCTGACCTCAGAGCTCAGGCTGTCAGTCACTGACCCTCCATCCTCACTGGCAAAACCTGCATGCCCACACAGCCCGGGGATACAGAGGAGCTCCACGACAGGGTCCTGAGTGGGCTTAGGCAGGCTGAGACCAGGCGTGGAGCCCTTTGGCCCGGGAGCAGACTGTGACAAGTAGACCTTGCTCACTTCCGTGAAGGAAACCTCTGGGGAGCTCATTCCTAGAAGGAAGGGCCACACCCAGTATTGACTCGCCAGGCACAGGTGCCGGTGGCCGGGTGGGTCCTGCCACGTGTCTACTTCTGGGGAAGGGAGGGAGTGGTCAGGCAGCCTCAGGCAGTGGCTCCTGTGTGTCCCGATCCCCTCTGCTGCAGCAGGCAGCCCGGGGACTGGCACCCACCCAGAGAGGTGGACTGAGCAAGAGGCCTGGGTTCTGAGATTTCCTTCCCCCACAACCCTGCGTCAGACAGGGCTCCTCCGCCCCTCCTGACACCACCACCTTCTCCATGCCTCAGTGTCCTCATCCACACCTCAGACGTAGTAACACTTCCTTCCTGGCATTGTGCAAATTAAATGAAGTCACGTGTGCGGCCTCCGGGGCTCCAGGGAGCCACGGTTTTATCCTGAGGGCAGTGGGAAGGTTTGGGGAGCTTTTTCAGGGAGCTAGCTAATACAGCGTCAGTGAAACTGATTTAAAAATATATATTGATAAGCCCCCACTGGATCTGATGCCTCCTGCCGGTAAATTCCAGCACTTTGGAAGACCAAGTTGGGAGGATGGCTTGAGACTAGGAGTTCAAGACCAGCCTGGGCAACACAGCGAGACCCCATCTCTCTAAAAAAAAAGAAAAAATTAGCCAGACAAGGTGGCACACACCTGTAGTCCCAGCTACTCAGGAGGCTGAAGCAGGAGGATCACTTGAGCCTGGGAGGTTGAGGCTGCAGTGAGCTCTGATTGT